TCGTAGAAAAATTGACGGCGTGGTCAAATCCTGAAGTGGGTCACTCGTTACCACATCACATCAAGATTAACACGGCAATCATGATAACTCATGAAAGGAACTGGTAATTTTGAAGGAAAAGCAGAAAAAAAACCGTGGAAATTTAGATTAGCATCAACTGATTGATCATTTTCATAGTTATACTTGGCAACGTGGTTTTTTTTAAACTGGTCCCAGTCATATGGCATATGAATACTGGAAAAAAAATCTGCGATGATAGAAGAACGTTCGAGAACCGTAGTTTTTTTTTGCATTTCGAGTCAGAATGGCCTGACAGTTTTTACAGTTTTTGAGGAATTGTGTTTGAAAGACGTATTCCACTTGTGTGAATAATGCACTGAATAATATTGAAAATTAGTTATTTTTTGGTTTAAAGAAATGAATCACTAAGTCTACGCACACATCTAAATTTAAACTTTCAGAATTACTAATTTTTTTGGGAAGTAATACATTGGTATATTTTTTGCTCATGAATTACCAGAGTTCTTGAATTTTTTAAAAATTTGCATATTCTGTCCCTGACTAATTGCTGAGAAGCACTGTGGTTTAAATTTTTTGTTCACTCAAACTGCAGCATAGTGAAAAAATCACCAAAAAAAAAAAAAACATTTTTCAGTGTTCTGTGATCATGAAGTCTGCGAAAGCGGTCTATATCTAGTTTCTCCTTTGTCTTTCATTGGATCTTCACTAGTGTAAGTTTCAGATTCAGGCAAAGGCGCTGTTTAAAAATTTCGCGATCCTCGCCAATCTGTGGTACCGGTCGCAATTCGGTGCCTCGGGAGCAGCTGAACGAGAACACAGCATTTGTTGACGCTTCGCCGCTATACGGATCATCGTCCAAAGATTTGCATAAATTCCGTGATGGTAGAACTGGTTTTCTCCGAATGAACCGTTTCAACAACCAATTGGTAACACTTTTCAAATGCAACAATTTGGACAACTAGTATTTCTAATACAAACAAAAAACTAAGCGATTATTTCTTATACAAAACTAAATAGGAAAAGCCATAACTGTTACCGCCCCAAGATTTCTTTTTCCAGCACTATTTTATCGCACCCGCAGATTTTTCCAGCTCAAAAAAAAATAATATTATTTGCCCAGAAAAAGTGAATTTGCTATTTTAGTAAAATTATTTAATCTTTTAGAACAAACATTGAGAGTCAGATTTCAAAGCACATTTCATGGGATCTTATGACTTTAAACTCAATTCAGGCTATTTCTAAAGTATCAAAGCGAAAGCTGCTTCCAAGAACCCAAAATTTCTAAATTTTAGGATGACGGCCTAAGATGATGTGGGTAACTCGAAATCGCCTTTCAAACTTCGGTATTTCTCAACCAAAAACAGTAAACTTAGGGCATTATAGATTTTTATAGCTCTAGAGCGGAATAATCCATGGACCCAGTTTTTTGCTAATACAGGATGAATAACTGCAAAAATTACTAAAGCAATTTTCCGCTTTTATTCAATAAACTTGAGTCGGAGATTTATTCAATTCAATTATTCAATAAATTTGAGTCAGCAAAAATATGTATCTGATTCGATTCAACGCTACTTGTTCTACAAAAAAGCAACAGAGCAAGCCAAAGTCAAAAGTTAAAACCTCCTTCGCCACTTTCTTCAGTTTCGTGCTCATATGAACAGCTCATGGGTAATATGCTTTTTATAGGTGCTGCCATTCGATCAGTCAAAATGCAGGTCGCCTGCAAAATGTACAGCAACGTTTACAGCTGGTGATATTCGTGTTAACTTATTCATCGGCCTATCATCAATGCACATTTTATTCACTCGTGAACATAACAGGTTGTACTTTAGCTTTTCAGTT